GTGTGTGTGTGTGTGTGTGTGTGTGTGTAGGGGAGTTGGAACATAATATATAAATATAAATATAGACATAAGATCATAGTGTTACAGGTTCTTCTAATACCTTGTTAGAGGCAGCTGGTGGTACAGGTGATAGGGCACTGGGCCTGGATTCAGGAAGACCTGAGTTCAAATCCAGCCTCAGATAGTTGCTAGCTGAGTGACCCTACAAGTCACTTAACCTCTGTTTCCTCATCTGAAAAATGGAGATAACAACAGTACCTTCCTCCCAGGATTGTTGTAAGGATCAAATGAGACAATATTTGTAAAAGCACTTATCATAGTGCCCTGGCATGTAGTAGGTACTGTATAAAAATGTTTATTCCCCTTCTGGAAGATGACTGGGAAGAAATAGTAATAAGTCATCAAGGCCATAGAAAGGTAGGTGATGTAAACAAGTATTTACTTCCCAATGCTCTTGAATTTCTTCTTTTTTGCCTATTAAAAAGACTTCTGGTCTTCCTCTATATTCCCCCAACTTCCCCCACCCCCCCCCCCCCCCCCCCCCCCCACAGAGCCAGGAGCAGAGAGGGGAGAACACTTGGTGGGGCAGGCAGCCTAGAGCCATTGATACTAGTGGTTTCTACCACTATGTAAGCCATTTATGGCTGGAGCCCAAATGATGTGCCACAATTTCTGAGTTGAGACAGATCCCGGAGAGTTATGGTGGTCAGGGTAGAGATCTGGGAGCAGAGATGGGGTCAGGACTTCAGATGCACGATACAATCAAAGTGAATGAGATAAACAGCTTCTCTGAAACCACAGCTGTAATGACAGACATTAGGCAAAAGGATTTTAACCAAACCCCAGCCCTTCTCCATATTCTCCAGTGGCCCAATGAAATGGTCTTGGTGGGCTTCATTCCACTTCTTCCCCTAATCCTCCCCATGCCTTGGCCAATGAGAGAGGCTAGGAGGGTTGGAAGGGGAGAAGACTGGATGAAACATCTTCTTTATAATTTTGCCATGAGCCAACTCCTTTGTAGCTCCTTGACTATGTTTTAATAAATTATGTGGCCTTTAAAAAAAGGCAGTCATTTTAGTCTGTGAATGAACTTAGTTGATTAGTTGACAGCAGATTTCCCAGGTGGTAGTGAGAGAGGAGGTAAGAGCTTTTCTATTTTAGTAATTTGGGATTGTGTTCTATACATTCCTCTTAAAACTACACTGAACCCAGGTCCGGTGTCCAGCTTTGCTCAGCTATGTGAGCTCAGGGCAGTGGGAACAGGGAGTAGTTTAAGATGTTTTTTTAGACTGAGCTGTCTCTTGGGAGCAGTGGGGATACTGCAGCCTTGGAGAAAGTCAGTACATACACTGAATACCCACTCAGGAAGCAACTTGACTGGTGGACTGGAAGGAGCGCCACCTGGTGGCCGATCTGTATTATATTTATCTATATTTTATCTGTCTAGATCTCTGATCTATGCATCTATCGATTAGATAAAAGATACCACATATTTGCAAGCCATATAGTGATATACATACATGCCTATTTGTGGTTGTTGAGTCATTTTAGTCACGTCTGACTCTTTGTGACCCCATTTGGGATTTATTTGGCAAAGATACTGGAGTAGTTTGACATTTCCTTCTCCAGTTCATTTTACAGAATGAGGAAACTGAGGCAAACAGGGTGAAGTGACTTGCCCAGGGACACAGCTAGTAAGCACATAGCCATAAGAGATGCCATATCTAGCAGAGAGCGGCTCCAGAGTGGCCAGATGCAAAGTTGAGTCCAGCTAGTCAGTAAAAGGAATTGGGAATTTGGTTTGTGGTGCTCAGGAAATTGCAGGCCCCGGAGATGAGACAATGAGAAAGATGCATAGACATACTCTATTCCGAGGTCTCAGTCAGAGATCTGAGCTCAGAGGCTGGGGATGGTAGATTAGAACAACATGACTAGTAGATATGCTGCACTCAGCAGGGAGGAATGAGAAAATATCATGAGAAAAGAAAAGGTATTGGGACCCTGGAAAGGTGAGTTGCCTTGGCCACATGCATTCCTATGGGTGCATCTCTCTATTAGTGTGTGTATCCATCTTCCCACTATTAATGTTTATTTATAGGAGGGTATGTCCCAGATTTATAGGAGGATGTTTTGCTGCTGCAGTTCATACTATGCTATTTCAGAAAATACCTTTGCTTTGAGCTAGTTGCATCAATCGACTGACTGTAGTTGTTGTTTTGTCTTTTGTTTTCAAAGAGGACCAGTGACATCACAGGGTGATATCTTGACTCCTGCGTGAACTGGACTTAAGTGAGGCAGAGTAGCCTCACTCTCTCTTCCAGAGTCATCGCAGTCCAGTGGCACTACAACTGGCAATGGCCCAGGATGCAGTGGGTGATCTTGGCATCTTCAATGTCTGACCAAGCTCTAAGTGCTCCACAGTGCCTGCTTCAGCTGCCTTCATGGCCATTAGAACAAATTGTTCATACGTGCCCATTCCATCTCTAGAAGTCTTCACATGGTTGGGACAGACATCCCCCTGACAGGTTTGAGGCCACTCTGTTACCCTCAGCCTGGTTTAGCCAGTCAGCAGAGATGGTTTTATCAGAGTGTGGCCATTGCCCATGCTACAGCTTCTTGGAGCCACAGGTGAGATTTGGGTGTCCATTTGGATACCAAAGGTGGATGAGCAGCCCTGAAAAAGACTCAGCAAGCCCTCACACCAGAGGTGCTATTACTCCCTGAACACCCCTTATGCCCCTACTGACTAACTAATGGAAAGGTTAACCCACTAGTGGGGGTTTGTGAGCTATAGTTGTAGTGCAGATCCACAGAGGATCTTGAACCTTGGGCAATCATCCCCTGGAGAACCCATCTGAAAGAATGTATTGGGGTAGATAGCTCAAAAGGTTGCTACACATTGATTGAGAGCTAGAAGCCACCTCAGACATCATCTAGTACAACCTTCTCATTTTATAGATGAAGAAACTGAAACCAAGAAAAGTAAATAAACTTGCTTAGTTCACAAAGAGTTAAATAGAGGAGTTAGATTTTGAATATACGTCATCGAATCATGAGTTCGTAGATCTTTATTTGGAAGGGATCCCTAAAGGTCTCCAACTCCAAGTCCAGCACTCATAATTCTCTGAGGAAGAAGTAAGTACTTGTCGACTGAAGGAATCAGGTTTCTTATAGAGGGTGGCAAATGAGCTGAGCCCTGAGGGAAGCTGGAGGTTCTAAAAGGCAGGGATGAGGAGAGAATGGATTCTATTCATGGCCATCTCTACAGAAGCATAGAGATAGTAGATGAAATGATGGATTTGGGGAACAGTAAGTAGGTCAGTTTGGTCTAGCTCTGTTGTGGAGACTAAGGACAGGTTGAGTTATTGTGGAAACATGTGGGAAGGGTCCCAGGTGAGACAGGCACCTCTGCTTCATCTTTAGTGCCTACAAAAGCCCCTTTGTGAAGGAAGGCAGGAGATACAGCTTATCGAAAGAGATGGGAGCTCTTTGACAGCTGGTTATCTATGAATTCTAAATCCCCATCCACCTTGGGCACACAGTGTGTGCAGAGATGAGAATCAGAACAGTACCAAAGAATGTGCCCAGGGGAAAATTCTTAGAAAACAGATTATGACTGAGATAATAAGCTACTATGTTGGATCACAGTGTTCATACTAGGCAAGTAGGCCCAAGGATTTGACTATCGACAGGCCAGGAACAGCTCTACTGAAGACTTTCCTTGCAGAAAATATACAAATCCCTAATTATTTCAGAGACGGCAGGGATATGTAAGACCTGCTAAGTGAAGAAATGAAACCTTGGTGCAGATAGCTAATGAGCTCATTTCTAACCTTCGGGCACAGGCAGCTGCTTTACAATACAGCAGGAAAGGCTGCTTGCTCTGCAGAGTTGTAGGCTCATTTAGGGCAAAGGCACACGTGAATTTGCCGGCTTTGCAACTCCTCAAGGTCTGCCCCCTTCTTGGTGCCTGAGGAGAAAGGAAAAGTTCTCTAAAACACAGAAAATGGATTCCTATCATCAAACCCCATCCCTCTCCCCATATACACTCTGGCTGCTTTCTCTGAAAGAGTCAGTGGGAATGTATGAGGAAACAGGAATGAGAAAGAGAGCCTCAGAGGAGGAAGAGAGCCCAGAAAGAAGTTGGGGGGGGGAAGGGTAATCATGTGAGAGAAGGGAGCACAAAAGAGGAAAAGGAAGATATGCTCGTTCCTGGCTTTTCTTTGTGGGACCAAATGTTTTTTTCAAAACAAAAACTGTTGAGTGCCAGTATGCACAAGGTGTTATGGGAGATAGGCAAGAAATACAGTCAGACCCTATTTATGTACACTTGACTTACAAATGGATCAAATATAGGTATTACAGGTGGGCAGATAGATCAGAATATCATAGATTTGGAGCTCAGAGGGCCAGAGGTCATTTAGTCCATCTCTTTCTTTTACAGATGAGGAAATTAGGGCCCAGGGAAGTTAATTGACTAGTTATGAAGTTAAATGACTAAGTCATACAATTTAAGTTTGTATGAGAATAAATAACTGTATTGGAATCCATGTCCTCTGGAGGGCAGGCATCCGGTGAATAATTGGTGAATAGACAACATAGTATAATGGATTTGGAGTCTCTGGAACAGACAGCCTAAGGTGTAGGAAGGTACTGTGTGTGGGTATGAGGTTGCCAGTTTTTCTGACCAGCACCAAGGAATGGTGATTAACAAATGGGTGGTGAGCCAAGAGGGAGGTCTTCAAGTCAGCGCTGCAGAATTCTGTCTTTGGCCTTATTCTATTCAACCCTTTTTTTCTCTTGGATAAAGGCATAAATAGTATGCATGTCGAATTTGCAGATGCCTTGAAGTTGGGAGGAACAGCAGAAACAGGATCCCCAAAGATCTCAATAAGGAAGAACAATTGGCTGAAACTAATAGGATGAATTTAATAGGAACAATGAAAAATCCTACCCTTGGGTTTAAAAATAATCGATCACCAAGTATGGCATGGGGAAAGGTTAGCTAGACAACAAATCTATGTGAAAAAATCCTAGTGGTTTCAGAGGACTGCAAGTCAACATAGACATGGCAGCCAACCCCGCCCCCTATCATCATCATCATCACAGCACTTATACAGCACTTTAAGGTTTACAAAGTGCTTTACAAATGTTATTTCATTTTATCCTCACAATAACCCTGGAAGGTAGGTGCTATTATTATCCCCATTTTATAGATGAGGAAACTGAGGCAGACAGAGGTTAAGTGATCCTACCAGGGTCACATAGCTACTAAACTTATGAGGCTGCATTTGAACCTAGGTCTTCCTGACTCCTGCTCCAATATTCTATTCACTGAGCCTCAAATTTAGGTTGTATTAATAAAAGTAAAGTATCCAGAACAAGCAAGGTGATGGTCCTATGGTACTCCACCATGGTCAGACCACATCTGGAATATTAAGTTATGTGCCGAGTGCTACATTTTAAGAAAGACCTTGGCAAGTTGGAATATATCCAGAGGAAGGCAACCAGGATAAGAAGGGAATTCAAAACCATGCTATTCCCCTGCCCCCAAATCTGTGTAGCTAACAGGATAAAATGCAAACTCGGTCTGTCATTCAAAGCCATTCACAGCATGGACTTTACTTACCTTTCTAGCCTGATTCTATAATATATGGAGACATGGTAACTGTCTTCAAGCATTTGAAAAAGCTGTAATGTAGAATAGGTTTAAAATCTGTTCTGTTTGAGTCTAGAGGGTAGAAGTAGGAACAATGGGTAGCAATTATGGAAGCAAATTCAGGCATGAAGTCAGGAAAAAACTTTAAAGAGCTATAAAAAAAAAATGGAATGGACTTCCAATGGGGGGTGGTGCGTTGTACCTCCTTGGAGGTCATCAGGCAAAGCTGAATGATCATCCTTCAGGTAAGTCATACAGGTAATTCCTTTCATGGATGGGTTGGATTACATGGCTATTGAGGTCCATTCCAGTTCTCAAAGTCTGTGATGAATACTCTGGTCTAGCCAAACTAGATTGCTACCTATATCCCCTGAACTCAGTAATTCCATCTCCAATCTCTGTCTTTATACACGCCATTGTCCCCATTTTTATGTACTCTTTCTCAGATTCCTTGTTGACCTCAGGTTCAACTCAGTTGCACGGTCTTCTGTGAAACTTTCCCTGATCTTCCCGACACTTAGCGTTCTCTCTCCATGTCAGTTTTCCTTACTCTATATTTATTTGTTCACGCATTGTGCTCTATCCTCCCCTAATAGAATGGAGCTTCTTGAGGGCAGGGCCTATTTCCTTTTTGTCTGCAGTATACCCAGGATTTTGCACAGTGCCTTGCATGTAGAAGGTAGTCAATATTTGTTGTATAGAATCGAATCATCCTCTTCAGGCCACTTTACCAAAGTTGAGCTTATATTGATTCAGCGTTATAATGAAGTTTATAAATGCGAAAGTCATAGATCATGCTTAGTCATTGCATAAAGAATTCTTGAAAGTACCAGATTCTTTTATTAATTAACTTGACTGTTGGTGCCCCCTTGTGGTGACCTGTCTCTATGAAAATACTATAAAGGAAAACCAAAATTTAGTAATTCAGTTCAATTACATTTTGATGGCAGCTGTCCTAGTGCAGGCCTGATTCTTTTTGCACAGGCTATTTCAATAAACCCCTAAATAGTTTTCCCACTTCCATCCTCCACCCCTTCCCACTCACCTTTAACAATGATGCTGGATTAATTTTCCTATGACCCAGATCTAATCATATTACTTCTCTGCTTAAAAAAAAAAAAGAAATCACTATTTCCTATTGAATAAAGTCCATTTATCTCAGATTGGCATTCAAGGCCCTTTTCAATCTGGTTCCAATCTGCCTCTCCAGACTTTTCTTCAGCTATTCTCCTACTCACACTATAGTCCACCCACTCTTGACTATTTCTTTTAATTCAGACATCCCTTCTTGCCTTTCTACTTCCTTGCCTTTGTTTATGTCATTTCATCTGCTTTGAATGCCCATCCACTGAATTCAGCTCAAATATCTGCCATCTCCTTTATGAAATCTTATCTCAGATCTGCCTAAGGAGATGGGCTCTCTTCCTTCTGACACCTTGGCATTTTGTACTTCTCATTGCATTTTATCCTAGGATTGGAGACTAAAAGGGAACTCAGAAGCAAATTAGTCTAAACCCTCTCATTTTATAGATAAGAAAGCTAAGATCCAGATAGGTGAAGGTCACACACATAGTACGCATCAGAGATAGGATTTGAACTTGGTCCCCTGATATCAGATGTAATGCTCTCTGTCCATCATACTGCACTCTATCTCAAATACATCAAGGATCAAACTCCTTAAATTTTTGCATCTCTCTCTCTCTCTCTCTCTCTCTCTCTCTCTC